GAAGCAGTCGACGGTACTCCCGAGGTTTACATTAAATTGATGTCGGATTGTTGGGACCATGATCCCAGGAATCGACCAAAAGCTTCTGAATTAAGTAGAATGCTGGGTGATTGGGTCGTAGCCATATGCGACGATCCAAATCCGACATTGCTTTCCGAACAATTTGATGCAGCTGAGGAAAAAATTTTTGAGATATATGTAGAAAGTAACTCATTCACTCGCCCGGAAATTCATCCGCAAGCAATATACACCAGTCGACCGTTGAACTTTAATAAATCATTGTTCGAAGCGTAAGCGAATATCGTGCATGATTCATTAGTCACTAATTTATTAGTGCATATCAGATTTCCTGATTTTATGCACGTGGATTTTAAATTTTTTTAAGCACGCTTCGTCCAACGGTTTCCGCTATCCAGTGAAACACCGAGAATAAATTACAGATTTAAGGGTATGGTGTTTAAGAAATTTGACCTAGGCCAACTAAACCACATGCTTTATTGCGTGACACGAATTAGAAATTTAAGGTCAAGACAACTAATTAAGAAATATTTATTTTATTGAAGTTGACATTAATTAATTATTATTTATTGAAGTTTGACACATATTAAGTTAAAATTAAGCACAGTTTACTATCAGTTAATCTATATCCTATTTTCAGGAAATTTCTCGTATTTCTTTTTATAACAATTTTTTTTCCTTCGTTCGGCATTTCTGTTTTAAAAATTCATTTCGTTATTCCTAAAAGTTGGTAAATCTGAGAGACTTCGATATTTGGGTAATTATTTTCGAAGGCGGACCGGGAGTTTTCTGGTACTACAATTGTGATCATTATGTGTGTATTGTTTAAATGTAGGGTCCGAAAAATCATATCTAGCATTTTGTCGTCTTCAAAAATAATTACCTATTTTGTCCGCCAAACTTACATGTATAAAAAAGGAAAAACGTATGTATAGTATTCCAAATTTGGAGATGTCAAAGCGTCAGTGTAGTCAAATGCAGATTACGTCAACTCATGTAAGGATTTGTCATATTTTTTGTTAAGCGAAGGAAAATTTATTTATGTACACTATAATAATGAGGTGATCATGTGTAAAATCTAGTACAGTATTTAAACCTTTTAAAGTCATGAGGTAATGTGGTGCCAATATATTATCTTTGAAAGTTAAATACTTCTTTTTTTTTTTTTTGTAAGTCTTATGTTTTTGCACAAATAAAAGGAATCACAAGGCATTAAATTAAAATCAGGTGCAAGTATCAAAATCATAAATTTTTCTATCT